CTGCTGTTGGCCACGCTCCGGTGATGGTTATGTTCCGCATCTGACATGAGCGGTTGTGCTTCTGAGTTATGGTATTTATTATTTATCTGCATGCATTGAGTTTTGCGTTAAAACGGACACACGTGCCGGGCCTATGTAGTGTATTCAGGTGCACCTGGCACGAGGAGTTGGTTGCCATCGCCGACGCCATCGCGAATGGCTCCCTGTTCAAGTGCCGGAAGTGTTATAACACGGAGCGACACCTTCAATCCAAGTACAAAAAGGAGGGGAAGGCACACATTTGGCGGGGTATGGACACCCAGGCCCGGCGTGCAGAGATCAAAAAACACAACGGAAGCTCGGAAGGACAAGGCAAGCGGCGTGAGTACACCATCAAGGAGTCCACGAACGTAACGGACAAAATGGGGTGCCAAGGGAACAAACCCTTTATGAACCAGAGACAGCCTCTTGGCATTAACTTACACTTGCAACTTGCCACTAGTCGTTCTGTCCTGTTGCCTGTTGCAGCCGCGTCTTATTTTTTGCTGTCGTTGTTGCTGGAGTTGCAGCTGCAACCACAAATTGCAATCTGTGGTTGTTGGTGTCGTCGTCGCTGCTGTTGTTGCTGCTGCTTTTGTTGTTGTTGTCGATGTTGACATCGTCCTTGTCGTTGTCGTCGTCGTTGTCGTCATCAGGAGAAGCAGAAAAAAATAGTAATATTAAAAAGCAATAGTAGTAGTAGTACAGTAGTAGTAGTCGTAGTAGTAGTAGTAGTAGTAGTAGTAGTAGTAGTAGTAGTAGCAGTAGTAGTAGTAGTAGTAGTAGTAGTTGTGGTGGTGATAGTAGTAGTAGTATCAGTAGAATCAGTAGTATCAGTAGTATCAGTAGTACAGGACCACATGAGTACTTGTAATTCTAGTTACAGTAGAGTGTATAGTGTATAGATCCCTGCCGGGAGGACCATATTTATCGCATTTTAGGTTTATCAGGAATCAGAATCGCTCAAAATTATTTTATACCTATATCTTCGGTGCCAGTCGGTTGTTTTTAATCTTCACGACTGCAACATCTCATAGTATGCCACACGAGTGCCATCACTCCAGGCTCCATCCCCTGACCCGGAGCTCGAACTCTCGAAACTCGAAACTCCCAAACTCTAATCTAAACCCTACCTTAGTAGTAGTTGTAGCAATAGCAGTAATGGTGGTACTACTAGTGGTAGCAGTAGTTGTCGTCGTGAGAAGTAAATTAGTAGTAGTAGCAGTACAAGTCGTAGCAGTCGCAGTAGTAGTAGTAGTAGCAGTAGCAGTCGTAGTAGTAGTAGTCGCAGCAGTAGTTGCAGTCGTGGTAGAAGTGTAGTAGTAGTAGCCGTAGTAGTTTTAGCAGTAGTAGTCGTAGGAATTTTATAATTTTATTAGTGTTAGTGTTAGAGTTAGTAGTAGTAGTAGTAGTAGTAGTAGTAGTAGTAGTAGTAGTAGTAGTAGTAGTAGTAGTAGTAGTAGTAGTAGTAGCCGTAGGAGTAGTAGTAGTTATAGTAGTAGTAGTAGTAGTAGTAGTAGTAGTAGTAGTAGTAGTAGTAGTAGTAGTAGTAATAGTCGTGGTGGTGGTGGTGGTTGTAGTAGTAGTAGTAGTAGTAGTAGTAGTAGTAGTAGTAGTAGTAGTAGTAGTGGCAATAGTAATGCAGTAGTAGTAGTAGTAGTAGCAGTAGTAGCAGTAGTAGTAGTAGTAGTAGTAGTAGTAGTAGTAGTAGTAGTAGTAGTAATAGTATGAGTAGTAGTCGTAGTAGTAGCAGCAGCAGTAGCAGTAGTAGTTACTAATTAGTATTTCTTAGTAGTAACTGGTAGTAGTAGTCGTAGTAGTAGCAGTAGTAGTAGTAGCCGTAGTAGTAGTAGTAGTAGTAGTAGTAGTAGTAGTGGTAGTAGTGGCAGTAGTAGTAGTAGTAGTAGTAGTAGTAGTAGTAGTAGTGGTAGTAGTAGTAGTAGTAGTAGTGGTACTAGTACTAGTACAGTACTAGTAGTAGTGGTACTGATAGTAGTCATAGTGGCTGTTGTAGTGTTGTTGTTGGTGTGGCTGTCGTTGTCGTCGTGATTGTTGTTGTCGTCGCTGCTGTTGATCTTGCTTGTGTTGTGGCTGTTCTTGTGGTTTGGTTGTAGTAGTAGTAGTAGTAGTAGTAGTAGTAGTAGTAGTAGTAGTAGTAGTAGTAGTAGTAGTAGTAGTAGTGGTAGTAGTAGTAGTAGTAGTAGTAGTAGTAGTAGTAGTAGTAGTAGTAGTAGTAGTGGTACTAGTACTAGTACAGTACTAGTAGACTAGTAGTAGTGGTACTGATAGTAGTCATAGTGGCTGTTGTAGTGTTGTTGTTGGTGTGGCTGTCGTTGTCGTCGTGATTGTTGTAGTCGTCGCTGCTGTTGATCTTGCTTGTGTTGTGGCTGTTCTTGTGGTTCGGTTGTGATAGTTGTTCTTGTGTTTGCTACCCGAACATTGGCATGGCGCACAGGTTCGAGAAGTACGGCCGCGAGACCTGGGGCTGGACCCCACAGGTCGCATCCGAGAAGTGGACAGAAGCAATGTCTCCCCCACTGGTCCAGAAGGGTACGGATGAAGAAGGGTGGCCGACCGTGGCCAAGTTTTCCACCCACTCCCTCACCTCAGGCCGTGAGCTCTCCCACACCAGGGGGATCACCAGCTCAGGACAGACAGAGGCGCACGCCCACGAACTGCGTAGTGTCGCTCAAGACGTACTAGAGGGTGGTGAACTCCACACGAAGACGGGTGTCTTCGACAACATGGCACTCCCCACGTTGCCGGGCTTCGCGAGGCTCGCCATCCAGCCTAGTAAGAAGGCTAGGAGCAAGCCCAAGACCAAGAAGACTGAGAAACCACCGCCACCGCCTTTGCCCAGCCATATCAAACCGGAGCCCAGTGAGAGCGACGACGGCAGCAAGGTCCGGAAGTGTTTGCACGAGCTCAAGATTGCCGAGACCGAACGAAAATGGGTCGCCCGACTTGGCTTATATGTATGCCGAACACAACTGGTCTCATGTTTTTGGTCTAGCGCATTCGTTGGTCGTTGTGTCCCGTTGTGTTGTGAAGTGAACTGAAGGTTGCGGCGATTGAGGAGCAAGCGCCGGTTACCAGCACCTCCCTCCAAGCAGCTGCTCCACTGCCGGATCTCGCGCAGCCTTTGTCCTAGTGTTGAGTGTTGAGTGGTGTGCATTGTGCATTGAGGCATTGAGTGCATTGCATTTTGTGCAGTGCCTGTTGTGCAGTTGATCGCGCCGCGAAACATGTTTTTGCAGTTGTGCACAGTTTCCATGATTTTCATGTTCGTGACCTTGTGGATGCTGTGCATTGCATTAGGCTCTCCGCTGGCCTCCTCGACACCTTTGTGGGGCTGGCATCTATGCTTCCTCCCTCATGCAGGGAGGGATGCATTCCACGGTTGGAGCTCACCAAGGGCCTGGAGACACTGAGTGCGGCAGTTGAGGATCGCATCAGGGAAATGAGCCCACGAAGGGCGGCTATGACACATGCCGCCTTCGACGTGAAGGGTGATCCGGATGGGACCCAGGGAGGCAATCAGGCCCTCAAGTGGTGGGAAAGGGACTGTGAATCCCGCCTCAAAGCGTTGAAGAAGGCTGAGGCAGGAGTCGCACGCGAAGCCAAAAAGATCAGAGATAAAGAAAACCGCGACAAACTAGCGGAGCAGAAAAGAGCCAAAGCCAAAAGCCTGGCTGCTGCAAAAGCTATTGAAGCCCCCCCGGACGGAGGCGAGCCCATTACCGGGTTGAACGCCTGGGTTCTGTATGCACAGGGCGAGACAGGTGCAATGAAACCCATCGAGTTCAGAGAGGGTGCCGACTGGTGCAGTGACGGAGAAGCTGTATAGGGGTTCAGTGTCCCCGAGTCTGATCTGGTGGACCTCCGCCTGGACACGTCACAGGAAACCTCTAGCGTGGTCAAGCTCCCAGATTTCACGGAGCTGCTGCCCAGCATCGGGCGGAAGAATGCGGAGCAGGCTCTCGATCTAGCTTTGCCTTTCTTGGTCTTGACGTGTTGAAGTGTTGATACATTGGCCTTGATTGTTGTGCTTTGAGCTTTGTGACATGTCCGGTGACGTTGTGGTGTTCCCGTGTGTGCCTGATGCCATGTTAAGATTGTGCGTTGGGCCTAAGTTAACAGTTAAGACATAGATGTTGATGTTACTAAGTTACTAGGAGGTTACGTCACGTCTGTTAGCTGTTATTACGTAAGTTAACATAAGTTAGCAAAAGTTAACTTGTGGGTTGAAAGAAATAGACAACCATGGGGTGGGTGGGTGGTGGGGGTGGTGGCGGGGTGGTAGTCGAGTCGGTGGCAGGCAGTGAGGTGGCAGAGAGGGGTTGTGGCAGTTGGTGCACGGGGTTGGGGTTGTGGTGGGTGCGCTTTGCTGGATGGTGGGGTGGTGGGGCCGTGGTGCTAGTCAGCTCCACCAGACGTGCTGTTGGTGCTGGTGATGGTGGTGGCAGTGGTGGCAGCAGTTGTGCTGTCGTTGTCGTGGTGGTTACTGTGGTTGTTGTTGTGGCTATAAACGTACTACGACTATAAACTATAAACTATAAACCTTCTGGTGGTGGGGGCGTTCCTGAACACCCAGAGCCTAAGCCCATAGTATCAGCTCTTATCTTTGTGGAACGCTTCAAAGAACAGCATCGGCGACACACATCGAATACCATTTCACACGAAACCGACACGAAACAAAATAAGTTGGAATGAGTGAACATTAACATAAGCTAACATAAGTTCACATAAGTTAGAAAACGTCAACTGAAAGCTTAATCTGAGACTAGTAACTAGTAACTTCTATATCTTCCAAAAACTTCCTACTAACTTCCCCCAAGTCAGCAGAGACTTACTACTAACTACCAAGATGTAAGGGGTTAATACGGCCATAGGAGGGTTAGTTACAAGTTATACAGGGGGTTACTAGTCACTAACATCTATAACTTAGGCCCAACGCACAATCTTGGTGATCCATGCTACAGGTCGGGTGGGGCCAACAGGCATACCTCAAAGAGCCTGCACATCGCACTAAGAGGGGCGACGCCTTGTGGCGTGCCATGATCGCCGCGGTCCCGGATGACTATGTCTTCCAGGGCGTCCCCGACGGGCTCATGCCCGACCTCACCGTGTGCTTGTCCGGACACTATTTCATCAGCTTGGCACCGCTGCAGAAACTAGTGCGAGCCTACAGCTCCACGAGTCAGAGTGGGCCTCCTGTGACCCTGTCGGACTTGTGCGGCTTCATGGTGAACACCAGCGCGACAGAGCTCAACAAACATGGGGCAGACATCACACTTGTAACGCTCGGGCCTGGTGACTGCATCTACACCCCGGCAGGCTACCTGCGTGCGGAAGGCTTGTCACTGTCCTGTCCTATACACTGCGAAGTTTGCTGGTTTGCTAAATACTGCAGTTACAGTTGTTTCACTTTGGTCGCCAGGTGCGGTTTCAGGCTCGGACACAGTCCAAGTCCAAGTCATGTCCAGCACCGTGGCGAGCCTACCACAGGCACTGCTTTGGCTTGATCGGGGTTAGGGCTTGCACAGTCCTTGACAACTTGACACTTGAGAGTCCTTGGGATGTCAGAATTGAAATTGAATTTGAATTTGAGTTAGATCATGCGGCTTTGATCTGATCACCTGTGCGAGGTCAGGGCGATGACCGACGACCTGTTCAAAGTGGCACTTTCATTGACGGCTCCGCCCTCAATGAAAAAGGTTCGCCAGAGCCTCGAGGACTCGGTCCGACTCCGTGATCGACTGCTTGCCACGGCACCGGCGCCGCCGCCACTTCTACCCGGTTCAGACGCAGACCACGTGGAGCAGAAGACCAAGGAGGCATCAATTGTCGTCATCCGATGCATACTGCATACTGCATTGTTGCATATTGAACTTATTAATATCTAGTATGTATATAGTATACAGTATATAGTATATAGTATATACTATATACTTTACATACTACATATATATACATATATATATATATATATGTATTATAAAATTATAAATATGCAATACATGTATAGTATATAATGTAATCATATAGTACATAAAGTATAAATATATATATATATATATATATATTATATGATATATGCGATACACTTTCTTAAATTCACTACATGTACTATACAGTACTATACAGGAGACCGCCGACGGCACCGATGACTTGGAGTCGGAGCTTCGTCAGCGACAGATCCAGAACAGCCAGGGTACTCCCCCGGGTACTCCGGTCCTTGCCGCTTGTACTTGTACTGTTTGTCTGTTGGGGGGGGGGGAATGGACATGCCCACGGCTCATTTGGCATTTAGAATTAAGTTCGTTCAGTACTTATAGTACTTAAGAGACTCAATACTATAGTATAGTACTAAGTAATAAGGATTGGAAAGCTGCACCGGCACCGACCCCACCGCTGTCACCGGAATCACCTGCGGACAACGAGGCAGATGTCACTGTCTGCGCCTGCCTATATCATGTGACTGTGATGAGTGCTAGATGCTGAGGGCCGCGAGGGGTCGCCGGGATCACATCCGTCGTTGTTCTCCGACGACGAAGATGCGCGCCCCCTCGTCCCGATCCGCCGGCCAGTGCCATTCACACCTCCGGCCGCTTGCCCATGACATGGCTGGCATGGCTTGTGAGTATTGAGTTGTGAGTTGTGAGGGCGTTCGCAATGGCAATGGTTGTGAGTTGTGAGTCGTGAGCAGGGAAGACGAGCTGCGTGACAGTGTGAGTTGATCATCCATTGGCAGTACATCAATAGTACGTACATAGTACGTACGCAGTACATAGTATGTAGTACGTAGTACGTAGTACGTAGTACGCACTTAGTACTTACATAGCGTGCCTGTAGCGTCACCTGTAGTGTCTGTGTCTGTGTACTATGTATGTACTGCTGTAAAATGTTACGGGCGACGGTGCCGAGGCATACATCCGCAGGCCGCGGTCGCCCCACCTCCCGGACTACTCGGTGGACATTGAAGCACTTGAGGCGGAGGCAGATCTATGATGAGTAATGCCAGTACTGCTGCCGGTTGTGAGTTGTGACTTGTGACGTGAAGTCATGAATGAGCTGCGAGTGTCGCTGGACATTCGTAGCTGAACCGACACATGTGAAGCGAACGTGAACTGACGTGCACTCCAATATTTCCCGGAGCCGGCAGCGGCCCTGCTGGTTGTGAGTTGAATGAGCTGCGCATTTTTGTCAGTGCGGCGTGTATAGTATAACGTTAGAAAAAGGGATGTAGTTGTTGAGGCCGCTGCACATGATGCCGAACTTGACAAGAGGGAAGCTGCCCCAGAGCAGGCCGGCATGCAGCGCAACGCAGTGATGCTGGTTGTAAGTTGTAAGTTGTAAGTTGTGAGTTGTGTCCTTGTGTCATGAGCTTTCAGTAGTAATGTAGTAGAGTGAGTAGCATCTCACCGTTGCGACATGGATGCACATGTGCCTGCACCCACAACGGAGGAGGCAGAGTTGAAGGAGTCGTTGATCGTTGAGGCCGAGGCAAAGGAAGTTGCACTTGAAGCAGCCCCTGGTGAGAATGCACCTGCCACAGAGGAGGCAGGCGTGTGCAAAAGGTCAGTCAGTCGTAAGTTGTGCGTTGAGAGTTGAGACTCATGAATGAGTAAGCAGCTAGAATGGCTAGATTTTGCTCACTTAATCGTTGCGACATTGAGGCGCAGCGAGGGACCAGAGGTACAGTGTTGATCATTGATCTAGTTCCAACCCTTCTGACCGTTGCGACATGGATGCACATGTGCCTGCACGCACAACGGAGGAGGCAGAGTTGAAGGAGTCGTCGATCGTTGAGGCCGAGGCAACGGAAGTTGCACTTGAAGCAGCCCCTGGTGAGAACGCACCTGCCACAGAGGAGGCAGGCGTGTGCAAAAAGTTGGTAAGTAGTAAGTAGTAAGTTGTGCGTTGAGACTCATGAATGATCTATCAGCTAGAATGGCTAGATTTTGCTCACTTAATCGTTGCGACATTGAGGCACATGTGCCTGCGCCTGCACCCACGACGGAGAAGGCAGAGTTGAGGGCGAGGGACCAGAGGTACAGTGTTGATCATTGATCTAGTTCCAACCCTTCTGACCGTTGCGACATGGATGCACATGTGCCTGCACCCACAACGGAGGAGGCAGAGTTGAAGGAGTCGTTGATCGTTGAGGCCGAGGCAAAGGAAGTTGCACTTGAAGCAGCCCCTGGTGAGAATGCACCTGCCGCAGAGGAGGCAGGCGTGTGCAAAAAGTTGGTAAGTAGTAGGTTGTGCGTTGAGACTCGTGAATGAGCGTAGAATGAGCTAGCAGCTAGCATTCGAGGCAACGGAAGATGCACATGCAGAAGATGCAACTGCCGAAGTGGAGGCAGAGTCTGAGTCTATGTGAGTCAGCGCGACGAGTATAGTATAAGTCGTATAAGTATAAGTGTCAGTATAAGTGCAAGCATAAGTGTAAGTAATAGGTGTCAGTATAAGCAGACGTTGTAATTCGTCATATTCATACTGCAACACGCAGTCGTTGATCGTTCAGGCCGAGGCAAAGGAAGTTGAAGTTCAAGCCGCGCCTGTTCTCAATGCACCTGCCAGAGAGGAGGCATGCAGTTGTGAGCTGTGACATGAGTAAGCTACGAGTCCTACGAGTGCTACGAGTATCAGTTGATCATCACGAGTGGTGACATGGATGCACATGCGCTTGCACCCTCAGCAGAGTCCACGGAGAAGGCAGAGTTCCGGGTTTGGAGTTTGGAGGAACTGAGGGAACAAATATACAGGTTGATCCAGCCCCTGTCCTCGCGGTCAAGCCGCTGTCGTGCCGCCTGCGTGTTATGAGTGATGCACAGGCACAGACTGGCCAAGTCACAGACGTACAGAACATCGAAGCTGAAGAGTCTGCAGTGTTTGCAGTGGCCCGGCTGGTTGTGGATTGAGCGAGCCATCGAACTGCGAGTATATGTCAGCGCGACGAGCATGAGTATGATTGTAAGCAGACAGTCTGCAGCAGACATTGTAATTCGTCAGAAACTCGTCATACTCATACTGCAGTGCACAGTCGTTGATCGTTGAGGCCGAGGCAAAGGAAGTTGAAGTTCAGGCCGCACCTGGTGAAGATGCACCTGCCACCCAGGAGGCAGGCATGTAATGACATTGTGATTTAGCAATTTCACGCTGCTGGTTGTGAGTCGAGTTGCGAGGTGTTCTGACAGTTCCGACTGGACACCAACAAGCTACGAGTAGTGTAGCAACTGATCATCGCGTCAGGCAAGTATGCCTGCGCCCGCACCCACAGCGGAGCAGGCGGCGTTTTGAGTCTTGAGGAGCAACGTTCAACGTAGTAATGTAGCATTTAATGTAGTCATACAGTCATACTAGTATAGTATGTGTAGTATGGATCGATCATCGATCAGTGTTGAGAGTTGAGAGCTGAAAGTCATGAGAGTTGTGAGTTGTGATTGGCGGCTAAGCAGAGCAGGCTGTGATATACGAGCCGCTGAGCCCAGCGGGGAGCGGTGGATTGAAGCGCAACATTCATGTCTCGCGGTAGCATAATTCAGTTAAACTCTCGACCCAGAGGACCGCCGATTGAAAAAAATCAAGCGGGATTGAAAATTCTCAGCGTTTTGATTGTGTCGATCAAATTCAATAGAAAACGATCTTTTTCAATAGAAATTTAAATCCTCAAAATCAATAGAACTGCGACATAAAAATCAATAGAAACCTCCACATCAAAATCAATAGAAAATCTCCATAAAATCAATAGAAATTTTCCATAAAATCAATAGAAATTTTCCATAAAATCAATAGAAATTTTCCATAAAATCAATAGAAATGTTATCTCAAATCAAACGAGAAACACTTCTGACATCAATAGATTTCAGCGCTATCTCTGCCTCCACCACTATATATAATACCTCTACCTCGACCTCAACCTGTACCTTTATCCGTATCTCTGCCTGTATATCTCTACCTTTACATCTTTACTTCTTTATCTCTCTATCGCTGTATATCTCTCTATCGCTCTACCGCTCTATCGCTCGATCTACCGCTCTACCGCTCGGTCGCTCTATCTCTCTATCTCTTATATCTCCCTGTCTCTCTATCTCTCCATCTCTACCTGTATTTTTATTTCTATATATCTATCTCTTTCTTTTTTCTCTTTCTCTATCTCTCACTTTCTCTTCCCCACCCTTTCCCAGAAGGCTTCCAGCCTAACACTTCTTTTTCACAGCAGCGGCAGGGAATCTTGGGTGAAGCTTCTTTTGAGCTCTCCTTCGAAACTTGGCCTTGTAAAGGCCTCGGAGCCTAACTTTCAAAAACGGTTCCTGGCTACTTGGACTTGGACGTGGAATTGGACTCAG